TTCATCCCTCACACAACATTCGCACATTGACTGATGGAATAACAAGTTTGGTAACAATGATTTTATCAAATCGTAAAATTATCTTATTTTCAAAATACAGAATAATATGTATAGTCAAAACAAAAGAAGACAATATTTTCATGAGAATTTAATTGTGGTTGTTTGATTTTTTGTTTAATAAAATAATACGTTGGACATAATTTTTCCAAAATTTCAAACAATAACTTATGTACCTATATGTGTATAACTTTATGTAAAAATGCTCAAGTCTACTAAGCACCTTTCAAAAAAATTGATTAATTTTCTTTTTGCTCTAAAATCACTTTACAGTTTAAACTTAGATATATTATCTGATATAGGTACATGTTTTATTAATGGAGGAAGATGAAAATCACAAATTTTGGTTTTGATGTATAGGTAGAAACATTTAAGATGCATATAAAAATAATAATTTTGATTTTAATAATAACGATAATAAATTTAATTTAAATGCATTGAATTTGGTTTTTAACATCTGCTAGAATATAATAAATAATTAAGCAAGTAATAATTGTAAAATCAAAATATTTTCATACGTATATGAGTATTAAGTATAATATAGTAGGTACCTATAATTGTTGAGTAGTTATAAGTATAAATGTATAGTTGATTTATCATAATTATTGTTACAAATGTTATCATATACAGTTTTAAATGTTGATAGTAAGTCTAAGTACCTACCTATAAATGAAAGTATAGCTGGTATACATGATATAATTCAATAAATAGCTTAAAGTATGTTTTTTATTGATGAGTTCTAAAATTAAATACTTAAACTTAAAATATTCTTAATATTGTTAACCTAAACATTAAATCGATATTATAAATTATTTCTATGATGATGGATAAATAATTATATTAAAAGGACAATAGATATACACTATAAATATTTACAAACTGATCCTTGTTAAGTGAAATCATTTAGTTAAATTTGGATTATCGTTGTAAATGAACACTAATATTGGGATCGTAAGAATTTGTAAAACAATAAGTAATACAAGTTAGATTTGTTCAGCATAATATAACAATATAAAGGTGTAAAAAAATATGTTGTGCGAAGAAGACGATTGACAACATCTAAGATTATCACATGCAAAACTCTTATCAAGTTTATTTTATGGCACCCTGTTTGCTTATTATTTGTGCTTTTAAACGATATATTAATATGTCAAGAATTAATTTAAAATACAACAAAAGATATTATTTAGAGTGCCAATATCACATCAATCTTACAATTTTGATAACTATTGTGAAATGCATGAAAAAACGATATTATGTATACTTAACATAATATATTACAATAGTACCTATAAATGATATATTTTTTTTTCTTAATGTATTTCATTTTGTTGATTAAATATACTATCTGATATCAAAATAATGCTTTATTTTGAATTGTACAATGTAAAAAGTTCTTAACAAATTATTTAAAATAAACAATTAACTAAAACAACAATGTTTAGGAAAAAATATCATGTACCTAATAATAATAATAATAAAAAAAAAAAATAATAAAATACACTTTAGTCATTACTCAATAGTTTTACAATTTGATGATATGGTCAAAAAATGTTGGATATGTTTGAATATCATAATTTAAAAATGTAACACTGAGTTTAAAAATAATGAATAAATAAATAGGTACATACATATATAAATAAGTAAAGGTAATTCAATAAAAAAAAAACTTTTAAATCACGGAAATATGAATAATTGTACAAGTGTTAATAGTTACTCTAAACATAATTCACTATGGATGGGTTGGATAGGTTTCATATAATATAATATTATATTATTACATAAATAAAATATGTTTGGTCAACCTAGATAATCTAAAATGAAGCTACCTAGTAGCTGGTACTGCATTGACTAGTATAAATTATAGGTAATTTTTAAAATAAAAATTTTGATTTCAGTTGTAATTAATACGCATTATTCAAATACAAAGTAGGTAGGTAAACCGACTATTATAAATAGTAATCATATTATACGTTATAGATACCTATAACTAAATATTTCCAACCATCATCTGCAGTCATAACTCACCTATTCAATGACGCCAATTGTTAAAGTCAATATATTAATTTTTTTAAATGAGTAACTATTTTTCATAAGTACTTAAGGTACCTACAATTACGTAGCTGAAACTTGATAAATATTTTCTACCATAATAAAATATAATATAGAATAATATCATTAATGATTACATGTTAAAACTTAATTCAAATAATTGATGGATTACAAATGTTTTGATTAATTTCCAAACTAATATTTATGGCCAACAAACACTATAATATAACCAGGAATCGGGTAATATATTTTATACGTATTATATATAACACAGAGTCATTTAGGAAAATTATTTATGCACAAAATGCAATCGTCTACCGTTTTGACTGGGTCAATGGTACACAAATTCATCGTAAGTCTACATTTATGAGTTAGCTAGGTGCCTTTTTACCGAAAGTGATACACTGCACCAGCAGTCAAATACTAATAAATAGTGCAAGCAGTTTTCGTGCAGCCCTTTTCAAACCGTCCTTCCCCCCCCCCCGAATTTCTATTCAATCCGAACGTAGTATAGATATTTTGATCACTACGCACCCGAGCGTATTAGGTAAGTAACGAAATGTGCTGGTGGGTCGTGATTTTCGTGCTTTTCTATTTTTTTTTTATATAAACATTTTTCTGTTTGTTACCCCTAACCGTACGTTGATCAAACGCCGAACAGTTTTAAAACACGAGCACCTCAGTCAGGCGGCGCGTGTATTTGAACGACGAATGACTGATAACCCGTACAGAGCGAGAATTATTCCGTGAACGTGATTTTACGACCTTGGCTAATGAAAATGTATGTTTGTATTGTTTACGTAATTTTTTACGAAATCGTAAAAAAAAAAAACGTTCTTATACGGTTTTAAAATAAAAGTCAACAAACGTGATTGTTATTTGGTTTAACGGTGCAGCAACTATTCCGTTTTTGTGTAAGTTTTTATAATACCTCGACTATAATATAGTCGGGCTCGAGCTGATTAGTATTTAGTATTAAGCTGGATTGTAGGAACGTCGCACAAACGTTGGCCCTACGGCGATAATGTTGATCTTGGCCGTCAGCTTGATCGCGTTTTTTTCAACCCCTGTTCGGAGAATTTCCTTTATCCTTAATCCTCTCGCCCCCACGAGACATCGAATTAATGAAATATTCTACATTGTATGCCTAAAGTGATAATTTAGACAAACGTACGAGTAAACGGAAATTTGATTTCTGCGCAACCATATAGTAGGTACTTAAAGTTAACGTCGGTAAAACAGCTGGATTTTTCTCAATGCAACTTACTGCCCTGTGCAATATTGGATTATTATTTTTCGTAACACTTATTTGGCGGTATACCGTTATAACAAAAATAATGTGTGGACAAAAAAGAAGCGAAAAAATGTTCACAAAAAAAATCGGCTGTTAAAATCTTCGATGTTTAATCGGCGTCGGACTAAAGTTTTAAGTAGTTAAACTCTACAGTCGTCAAAGAGTCAAGAAACGTCATTAATATGGAATTTTAATATTTTACTCAAAATACGATAACGCTTGCAATTATATAATTACAAGGTACTATATTTAAAAATAAATCGCTCAATCACATTTTACTAAGTTGCCCAAATCACACAGCATAGGTATAAATGAACAGTCGAGAAAAATAAAACGTTTGGCTAGTATTTATAAGCGTTATACCCAATAATTGATACTTGCAAATTCGGTGCTAGGTACACGTCGTAAGGTTATATTCAGGGACGGATCCTGGGGAAAGGATGAAGTGGCTTTCCCCAGACACATAAACAAATACTTGCAAATTTTTTTCAGAGATCATTAATTATTGTTATATTATGCTAATTAATAATAAACACGTTTTGTACCTATACAAATATAAGATAAATTTCATGATATTTTTGAAATGAAAAGTGAACGAGGAAGATTGTGTGCGATATATATTATTGTGCTCATAAGCGAGTTGCCCCTCCCAGATATTTTCTCTGGATCCGTGCCCGGTACCTATCTGCTCACGCGTGTGTTTTCTCTAGGTTACACCTCACGTTTGGCATTCGTCCGTGCAGAATGTAGTCGAAAATACATCACAGTTGTAGGTATATCACACAGAAGTTATACAGTACAACCGTACAGGTACATATCGGTTGCCTACGTATTTCAGCCGTTAGGTCGTTAAGATTGGACCGTTCCGATCGGTTACCAAGACTCAATAGTAATCTTGTCTTACAAAAATACTTTTTCGACTAAAAATACTAAACTCAATATAAATAGGTATACGTAAAATAAAGTTTATTTTTCCTTTAGGATTGTTGAAATGTAGGCTTAAAAAATAACAATCAACCGTGTGCCATACTTTTCTTTTTTTTCCCACGCTACACAACGTTTTGAATAGCGTGTGGGGATTCGGCCACATCAGCTTTATCGACACCTACAAAATAATAATAATAATAATAATATTACTGATTAATAAACGTAATACCGGGGGTCCCTCATTCACGCCCATCCCACGGCAGGGAACACGACTGACTAGTATTTTGAGACAACAAATCGATTAACAAAAAAAAAAAAAAAAATAGCATTTTATAATGGATAATAATAATAATAATAATAATAATAATGTACATATTATAACTAATAAACAATAGGTAGGCACTTGAAAGAAAGAAATGTATCTACAGAAATCGCGGGCGCAAATAATAAAAATACAAAGGAAAGACGAAATCATAATGTCCGGGGAAACTATATAAGGAAGGTAATTAAAAAGAACCGCGATTGAGCAAATCCCGTTTTTCTCAACGAAAAATAAAATGGGGGATCACGGTGAAAACAAATTGCGTGTGCACACGACATGGCGTAGATAGGTACACAAAAAAAAAACTGTTGACAACGGGTATCCTGCAGCTACGACGACTCTAGTGTGTCAGACTATGATGTCCTTCAGGCTAAGTATATTTGTGTTTTTGTATTTTTCCTTGTCCACATTCAGCGACGGTTCGTTCTTCTTCGTCTGCGTGTGCCACACCAATATCTTTAAATAACAAACGAAACATGTCAATTGTGTGGATTGAATAAACACGAGACACAAAATATGTGCTGATTAAAATTCAAAAGTATGATTTTCAACAATAAATCTCATCGGCAAAATAAGCTCAATAATCTATGTACAAAAATCATCAAACATATTATGCACAGCCGAAAGCGTATTAAACAAAACATTACGACGGATTTTCATTTCTGTTTGTCATTTAGCATGTGTTAATCGAACTATTCGAACTCCCGTAGTATAGGTATAGATTATTCACATAATAGACGATATTACAGTTTGACCCAATTACAGTATTAATATTAAGCTATTTAATAATCTTTAGATGAAATTATGTCCTGGGTGTCCATTTTAATTAAAATGTTAACTATGGTTAGCTGTGCAAGTTTCAAAGAAGAGTAATCCGCTTAAGAAAATTAATCATGGATGAATTTTCTAATCAATTTTATTACACTGGATACAAATTAAGTAAAAAATCTTTCAAAAGCACTATTCCTGCATCGTTACTAATTAGTAAGCATGGTATAATTTAGGTGTCATAGTACAATAGTACATACCTAATATAATATTAGTATGTTATTTAATAATTAGAAAACAGCAACATAGGTACTTAATTAATTTGTTTGTTTATTTAAGAAACAATCCAATGATCATTTACAACTTCATCTAGAAATTGTAGCAAGTAGGTATATGGCTTACTAAAGCGGTAGAAAGATTCAAACCAAATAATACTTTGAATACTTTATCAAGTTAAAATAGCTTTTATTACTTTAAGAAAATGTAAAAGTATTACATTTATTATGTTTTATTTTAATTTTAATTTTACTATAAAAATAAGCGTTTAAAATATTTTAACATAATACCTTTTATGTTTAGTAATGTATAAAATTATGTAGGATAATATTATTTTAATGTAGCATTAAACGTATCCCCCCCCCCCCCCAAAAAAAAAAGAACAGTTTTTAACTAGTAGTTTAAAATAAACTTTTTTTTAATTTTAATGAAATGTGCAATGTAATATTAAAATATAATGTTATGTCTTAATTGTATCATGAACTTACTATGCTTAGGTATTTATGTTTTGTATTTACTTAGTTTTTATTTTTATTAATTTACCTAATCATATAATTATAAATGTGTATTAATATTATGCGCTTTTAATTAAAATATTTATTAAATTACATTTATGAGTACCGAAGTTTTATGTTTTAAATTTTAGGATAGGTGGTTAACTAAGTTGGGGTTTTTTTAGTTTGAAAAAGTTAATATGCTAGATTTAAAAACATATTGTTTCATAAAAAAATATATTAATTAAAACAAAATTAATATACTCACAACCAATGCATAAATGCTTTTTAATAAATAGAATATGATACTCATCATCAAATAATAATATAGTAACAATTTACAGAAATAATTATGAATTATTCATAGGCATATTATTTAATTTTAAATACAAAAAGAATATATATATATTAACGATAAAAGGTATTATATGAATATCTCTGTAATATTATAGTTATAGTTGATTAAATTAAACTAGATATTCATGAACCACTTTATCACATTATATGATGATATGATTATATAGATGATCTTTATGGGAATGAAGAATATTCTTTAAATATTTGTATATAACATATATTCTATTATTATCTTATTAACATCAATGTGTTACTTGGGAATATGTATTTTATTACTATACCTAGCTCAATTTATTTTTAAATGTAATGTACCTGCCTATTTCCCTATTCTGAATCTTCTATACGTAATGCCCACGGTGAAAATCTCTATTTTGGCACATGATTCTCAGCGAGTTGAAGATAAAAAAAGCCCTCTAAATCCCCCCTCTTCCCAACCTGCCAAAAATACTGCATGGATGACCTGAACGAGAGAAGTCGTAGATAAGTTCTCCTCGGCCAGGGTTAATCTCGCACTCTCGGACAGTTTAAATCGAAAGTACCTATCTATCACCTTGTTATGAAAAAAAAGAGTGCCAAATATTATAAGTAAAGACATATGCATTAAAGCGTATTTTATTATTAGAGCTTATTATGATTTGCATATTTTATGAATTTTTAATAAATAATTAATCTATTTCTTCTTTTCTCTTTTCTCTGTACTATAAATTTGACAATTAATATATCAAACAACGATTTGAGATAATCACTGAAAAATGTTTGACAGCCGAAAGTAATATTTCTAATATCTATGCTAGGGTGTTCCTTAAATTTTTTTTTTGCATTTTTGTTGGTCTCACCCACTTCATTTGTGTATATGCATAAAAAAACGAACTACAAAAAGTTTTAAGTCAATCTATTAAGGTTAACCCGTGCCGACTTGAATTTGAAATTTGAGTATATTAATTCATTCATAATTTAATGATATATTTTACATTTTCATATATAACTCATTTAAAAATTAAAATTAGGAAAATTAAAATTTGATACATACCTAATATGTTTTAAATATAATAAAATTGTCTGTAAATTATGTATTATAGATTCTATGCAGCTATTACCATCAAAGAATCGAAACCACTGCCGTGATTATTACTGCCGGATATTTGATTAGACCTGATTTATATACTTGTCTTGTTATCAATATTTTATTTAATTGTTGTTTTTGTAATGGTTATATATTGCATGTTATGAACGTTTTGTGCATACGTTTGCATATTTTGTCATTATTATCATGCATAATGCATACCTACCTGTTATATTATATTATCACGGTCGACGTAAAAAATATTGGCGACCAAAAGCTTATCAAACTGATAAGCTGAAACGGGCAAGCTGTGTATCATTTATATGTTATTTTTCCATCTGACTCGCTTTAGACCACCCTCGCTGGCCTGTAAATTGATAAGCTTTTGATCGCCAATAGAACGTTTACCCGGCAACGTGGATGTTGTTCTAGTGCAATTTAACCCTAAGACGTCACGACCCAATGAGTTGTCTCTGACTTACAAGTGGACAACACAGCGAATTTACGTCCAGCAGTTCAAATTTAGTGTTGTAAGCACGTAGCTTTAATATTAGAGTAAATTATCTAAATTAAAGGTAAGAACAATACAGGTCGCTTTTTGTTTTTTTACAATGTTTTCATTTTTAAGTGAATTATGAGCAGGATTGGAATTTTAAAGCACTTCAATTTTATAAATGTGCAATAAAAATAATTTTAATATTGTACATACCTAACTCATGACTCGCTTAAAAATTAAAATATCGTACAAACCAAAGAAATAACACAGACAATGTTATTCATTAACTTTTAATTTTAATTTTGATAATTGGTCAGATCAACCTAATATTTAAGCTAACAACACAAAATTGGAAATTTGGAACTACTGAACGTATATTTTGATATGTTATGTATTTTTAAGATGGAAACAACACATGTGGGTAGACGCCCTGCTTTTAAGTAGAGTTAAACCTAGGGCGAATATAGCCGCTTAGGTACAATGTTATGTGACATCAAAAAATAGTGGTCACGCTTAAGTATAGGTACTATATAGGGTTGGACCACGATTTGGCCATCTCTTTTGTGTAAAGAATAATTACAATTCACGTATACTTAAACGTTTACTTAACGCAGTAGAACACAAACTGTACGATTTGTTTGAACATAGATATTAAACGAATAGGTAGCAGGTAGGTAATAATGGTATAGTATATAGTATATTACATACCTACGTAGGTAATAGTTGTTTTTAAATCATTAACCTAGTAAATAGGTAGGCACATTATTTTATATCAATATCCAATATGGCTATGAAATAATTTAGGGTTCATAAAAAATGTGTTATTGGATACTATTATTATTATATATATTTAAATTCTAAGTACGTAATTAAATAAAATACTATATAGTATGCAATATAATAATATAATAACACTATAATAGTTTTTGTACATTGACTTATTGAGATCACCGAGTTGTGATCAAAGTATACTATTGAAAGAATTAACCTATTATAAGTAACCTGCACTTACTTTGGTGCAATTATCTGCTCTTAATTCAATTTCGTGGGGTTCAAAAGGAGCTAAGGTTCTCAAAAAACCATCTTCTTCGAATCCTGGTTTGTAAGGCATTTGAGCATTAGGTCTCTAGAAAAAAAAAACATGTGGAAAATAAATATTTAAATTCATACGTATAGAACAAATATACTCTATGTAGAATATAAATTATAATTATACACAAATAACGGTTTAAATAATGTACTTATAATATGTGTATATTAACCTAACCTAATGCGTGTATAAGTGCTGGGAATTATGCAGATATTAAAATTCTATAACTTATATTTTTTCATTCTCTAATTTAAATATTGAAATGTATTTTTATAACTGTTTGTATTTCAATCAGTTATCAAGTACACACATTTAAGATAATTTATAGATAATTTGATCAAAAATTCTCTGATATCTGCCATTAGATGAGTTTTTTTCATAACTCTTAGACTGTATGGTTATAATTTATAGTATAATAGAATTAAGCAACATTTACGAATATTAGGTGACAGTTAAAATATTACTACTTTTGACTCGTTTTTGTTAATAACTAACATCTATTATCTAATTTTGTATTTTTGTTCTGCCTGAAGTAATTTGATCATTTGATGAGACATTTAGCGAAGAACTTGATGCGATACAAGGTTTACGATCAAAAAGATTATTCGCCACACTGGGAAAATAATATCCAAAATATTAAAGGCGAACTTAAAATATATAAATTATAAAGAATCGTTTTTGAATGCTTACATATTTCCAAACATTTTGTGCTTATCTTAGAATTACATTTAAGTACTTTAAACTATTTAAGTGGCACTCAAATAAAATGTATTCGAATACTTTTGGCATAATAATATATGCGTTATTGTATTAAGCTAATATTAGGTACTTACAAGTTACAATATTTATCTGAAATCAAGAACCTACTCTAGCAGCTAGTAGGTACTTAATTAAATACCTACTTAATAATATGTTGTATTGGCTCGATTTAATGTAGTCATACATACTAAAGTTTAAAAATTAGGTATGCGTAACCCAAATATTATAAATACGGCATATCTATATGTAAATAGGGCGGCTTGATATGCGTGGAACTGGACACTATTTAAAATGTTGAGTGGGTTATTTAGGTATGAGATAAACAGTTTGGTGTCATATTGTCATTTCATATTCAAAACACAGTGTGTGATGTAAAGTTTAAATGCACGGGATATAGTAAGTCAATGGATTATTATAAAACCAGGAAATATAATATGAAAATGTGCGAAAATTTTCAACTTTTCAAGCGGTTATTTGTACCTACATAAAGCCATGTGCATAAAGTAGGGTAATGATGGGAGGATATATCCTAAGGGTATCATGGGTTATATCTTCAGTAAACCTGTGAAACCCGATTAAGCACGGTCCCTATTTTTGAACAATCCTACTCTATACGCGGACCATATTTTTTAACAACCCGAGTGAGCACTGTCAAACGAATGAAACGTTGCCAATTTTTCTATCTCGTTTTATTCGTTCGTTCGTTCGTTCGTGTCATTACATTTTATTCTATATATCGTTGAGCTTTACGAGTCGTATCGGAGGTATATTCTAATCGTAATATGCATGGCGATTATTATCATAGATAGGCTTTTCGTCGCTACGCATTACACCGTTTTATATAAGTACATTTTTTAGATTCTGAGCGGAGTGGAATTGCCCAAGTCAGCGGAAGACGTGTTTTTACAATATTTAACGAAAATATTATATTGTATTTAGTAAGTTAAAAAAAATACAATGAAATTTATAAGTGAAAAAAACATTGCCCACATGGTATTTTTATAAATAATAAAAACGCAACATCGTACTTATTATTATGTGCTCAATCGTGTCGTATTTTAGATTCCTATTGTGTGATTGCGTCAGTGCTCAATCGGGTTGCAACCCAGTAAACATATTATAACCTTTTTTTAGATTTTTTTCAATAAAATAATGTAACTTTAGGCTAGGACTTGGAATTTTAATCTATAATTTAAAAAATCAATAGTAATGATTTTTTTACGCACTCGTTCGAAAAACTTTATAAATTCTAAACAAATCGTATATACGAAACGAAATACCACTCAGAAACGATATATTTTGAATATGACAATGTAAACAAATGAATATTCAAATATGAAATAAGGTACCTTAAAAATTGAGTGATCTGTAAGTAACTTAAGTAACTGTAAGTAACTTTTATTAGCTACTACAATGATTCACGTTTCAAGGAGTTATGAAAAAAAAAAGTTTTAAGAAGCAGGATTACTCATCAAACTTTATTAAATAATATTTCTAGGAATCGACGACCAAAAACAAACCAAGCGTACTAAGCTCTATCGAGATATTTTTTTTATTACTTACCATTGTATTAGCAAATGCATTTTCTGTCGTACTTAGTTTAAAGTAACAAACAACGTATGATAAAAATACTAAAAATATCTAAGGGTATAACTGGATAAATCAGTATAACATAATCTCAGGGTAGTATTCAAGTATTTTACTTTTAAAAAAATCTCATATAAATGATAAAATATTTTCGTACATCAAACCGCTAGTATTGTTCACTTTAAAAAGTCGATTGTAAAAAATACCGAGGAAAAAAAGGAACGAAAATAAAAAACACATTTTTAAAAAATAATTTTGATAAAATATTTGAGTACCGAAAATAGGTATACAGATTAATTTAATTTAGAATTTTTGTAATGCTTTTATTTTATCTTAATAAAATATAACATGTATAACATCAAGTAAAGTAAGTTTTTTATTTTTGGATATTCCGTATCTAGACTTCATACTTTTCTTTCATTCTTTGTATTATTTATTTGTGTTATTAATTGATTCAAAAAATGCAGTAGGTAGTCTTGTTGACAGTCATCAATATGTTTGTGAGTTACTAATTGTTTTTCCTAACCAAGTGTTAATTTTTGTAAATTTTTAAATCAAATAAACCTCGACGTGTATAGAACATTCGAGAAAATTCGAGGACTGTAATATTCCATTAATCATTATTATAGTCGTCAAAACATATTTTTTATTTATTTCCTTGGTAGGTATATTTAATTTTTTTTTCTCGGTCATTTTTCCGGGATTCTTTTAAAATATATAGGTTTCAAAATGTCAACTTACTTCTAGTAGGAATTTGACGCTAACCGCAAACCCAGCCATATCGACTGGAAACTTCCTGCCTGCGATCCAACCGTCGTAAAACCCAATTAACTGGCCATTCTTCACAATTGGTGTACTTAGGCCAGTCCTCGTACACAATCCTACAGGCCACATGGATACTTTTTGCGTATTACGCATCTGTGTACACATAATAACACCATGAATTAAAAATGTACTCAAGTCAGCATAATAAATAATACGCGAAAATAAAAAAAAATGTATAAAGTATATTATTATGCTTTTAAATAAACGTCGATAAAAATAGGGGGAAAAATACCTAACTGAAACAAATTTGGGATAGTTAAAAAAACTGGATAGGATATCCGATCGACTACGGAAAAATATCTGGTCGACATTTTGCTAGAAAATATATCTGCAGAAATATTATCTTGAAATCGGAAAAAATAACTCACTGTAATTACATTATTTTTAAACAACATTTTTTTTGTTTTTTTGTTTCATAAGGTTTTTTATTCAATCTGTTACAAAATAAAGAACAATAAGAACTTTTTATGGTAAATATAAGCTAAATAAAAAAAAAAAATAAAAGGGCAGATTAAACAGATTGCAGAGGCCTCCCAGTGGAGGTACGACGACATAAGTAAGATACAAAATATAAATACAAAATAAATACGAATATTATTAAAACGAATTATTTTGTACAATAATTTATTCTTTTTTTAAAGTTTGTCTACTTATATTCATTTTATTGTTGAGATACCATTGACATAATTCAAACAGTCTACTTTCATTTGTTGTTTATTTTATTTTTGGTGGCGGTATACCAAAGGCGTAAGTTTAGTTTTCATCTACTAGGTGGCTAGGTATCACTCAACAATTATTACAGACATGCTGCAATAAATGACATTGCAAGAATAAATACTACCTAATACACATTGTTATATTATAATAGTATACAAATATTTTTCCGCAAATATATATTCCGGTAAAAATGTAGACCAGATAATTTTTCTAGATAGAAAGAGCCCGGGTACAGGTTGTGTGCTCATCTTGCTCGATTAGTTCGGCGCATAATTTATAATTTTACTATGATATTTTTATAATCATTAAACTAGAAAAACAATTCTGAACAGAATATATAGCTTTCAACGTTGTACGTTTCTAAGAAGAATAATGCAGGAGTTAGGATTTTCCGTATAGTAGGTATATACAAATTGATTTTACTCTGATATAGAGATATAAAATTATTCTTAACAAATAATAAATATAAGTATTTCAACTTGAATCCTAATAAAAAAATTTTACTTTATATTTTATAACTGTAGTTAGAATAACCTACAAGAGCTAGTATTTATATAATGTTGTTTCATTTTCTTAAATAAATAAAAACGGGAAAACAAAAATATTTTATATTATGTTGTTTCTCCTTAAACTTTCGACAAAAAAATTAAAAATATTTTTTAAAAAAACAATTTTGTATATGCAGCTTATACATAATATTTATACGATACCTAAAATTGTTTTTGAGTAAATATATTTTTAAATTAAAAAAAACTGATTGAGTGTTATCTTAAAGTATTTAATATTTGGGTTGGTGAATATTATAAATACTCAAAAGTATAATAATTATGTTATAGGTAAATAAAACTATAGTTTTTATACATATATAAGGACTATACTGAATAGAGAAAGGGAACTATTATTCCCTGAAAAAAGTTTGTGTTCTTACAGCTTTAAAAATGATAGGTATACATTGAACAACGAATCAGATTAAAGAAATACACTGTACCTAGGTAACTTAATTTCATTCGGAGAAAAAGTATATTTAAACTTCACAACTCTGCAGCAGTGAAAATTATGTAAAAGCATCTTCATTACTGCAAATAGGGGGGGGGGATAATCAAATCCGGGACTTGAAGTCCCCATTAAGAGAGTACTAACTACATATTATAAATTTATTTTTACAACTTTGAAATTCAACCCACTTAAAATTATTTAAAACTATGTTTTTGTGATACAGTTTTTCTAATATTTTATGATAATATAAACACAAACAATAAAGATCGTTGTTTTTTCATAGGAAATCTGGTAAGAGGATAATACAACCCGAGTACCCGACCATGTAATATTTAACCAGGGATATGTGTGATTGCCAAAAAATATGAAATATATATTGAATGTAAATTATGTAATTTATGAATTTCGGGCTATTACGAGGTACTTACCATATTTACTAAATAAAAATATCTCAATGTTTGATAATATTATACACACTCATAATAAAAATAGTTGAGAAAATGTATAGGGAGTATTTCCTTTGTCAGTTTTAAAACTCAATTAGTTTAATAAATAACGATTAGATATTTGCAATTTAAATAAATTCACATTACGTTAACAGCATAAAATTGCCATTGATTGTACATGCTCAAATAATATAATTAAACTGTACGTCGGGCCATTAATTTTGTTAAAATAATATGTATAGATTAAACAATACCATTGTTGTACATTATATCTTTGAAATTGATTTATTTGTAATCAAATCATTTTGTACTAAACAGCAACCAACCGTCGAGCGGCGAGCGTAAAGTAATATACCATTAATTATAAATACTAGTACCTACCTACTGATTAAACCGTACAAGTGGACAACGGCACGTGAAATAAATAAATAAAAATATTAACCTCGTTGAATAGTCTGACGTCATAAGTGTTATCATCGTCGGCGAAATACACTACGCCTTCGACGGCGTTCTGTCGGATCCATTTTAGACCTCGATTTCGATTGGCCACACCTTTGGGCTTGGCACCGCGGATTTTCTTAAATCTATCCGGCATAGGAGCTGAAAATTGTTAAATGCATTGTGAGATAATTTATGTATTAATGGCGTGTTGGCCATACCATAACAGTATAATAACGAGTCAATCGTAAAGGTAGTCTGAAAACACGCTACCAATTATATACAGAATACACGGCCAAGTTCCGAGGGGGGAGGGGATTCATAGGGGGCAACCCTGTTGGAAATTAAGCCCCCTCCCCAAAATATCGACATATCGTTTAATTTATTTCGACTATTGTGCGGCTGTGCATGTGCACAGACTCATTCGCTGAAGTAGGTGTAGGTACCTATATGTAAACCGTACAGCAAGCTCATGTCAGTATACGTATTTGTAAGAAGAAAAAAAAATCAATGTTTCGAAAAGCGTTATTTTACACAAGTTATATTCCCCTTTGGTAACCCTTACACGCGTCCAACGCGGTATATATAACTTTATCAGCTTATATACAGCGAGTAGTACTTCGCCCCGTTGGTCCCCAGTGACCTTAACAATACACCCAGATAGAGCCAAACCTCGATCGATGGATTTACCACCCTACGTGGTCATATAATATTGTGATTTTCACGAAACTTATTTCATGTTGCACGTAAGAACGATAAAATGTACAGCTAAACCTTATCATAAGCGTGTTTAATACAAACCAATTAATACAATGATAAGAAAAAAGGGCCCACTTCTGTGAATTGTTTACATATTCATAAATTTATAAGCTAAAAAAAATGACTGAATCAAAACATGTTGTTATTTATATTAATTTTTAATATTTATTAAAAAAAAAATTAAAATAAATCCTATTTTGTCTAGGATTGGAGTTATTTTATTTTATTTTTATTTTTAAAACATATTTTTCAAAAATGCGTAGGTACCTATAGACAGAGCTTTTCATTTCAATGTTTCAGTTGTATAATGTTAAGATACACTTATCAGTTATCACTAATTCATAGTCAAAGAATGCAATTTGTATGTTGAATATATAATTTATTTTAATAATTCATGGCAGGTACAAGACTCGGGTCTGTGTTAAAATAATAAACTACGAAATAATATTAATTGGGATTAATTAGTCATGCAATATAAGGCATAAGTGTATACAACAAGCAGAAAAACGAATAACATTGTGTTACACCTATTCACCTGATTAAATAGTTACTATATTCGAATATAAATTATTACTTTTAAGTAGGTACATGTCTAATGAAACTTATAACTTGGTATAGGTCGAGTCTAGTCTTGTAATATTCGTTTATTAGATTATAACACCGAAGAAAACTATATTTTTTTGAAGCAATCGTCGTTTTATCGTTTTTATCATTACAAATTACTTACGACATACCTTTCTGATGATATTTTATCTAGAACGCATTATTATCGCAGTATTATCATCAATATTATAATCATTAACTTTTATAAGCCTCGTGCAGGAGTAAAATAAATGCTAGAGCCTTATAAATATATTATATTCATTATTCATGAATACAAACAAAAATATGAATATTTTTTTCTATATACATTCCTAAAAATAGTTCATGCATAGAAATTTGTTGTCGAACACACATAAATATATATATATATATAAACATTGAGTACTGCATACATAATACATATATTATTTGAGTTTCATCGTAACAGTTGTTTACATATTACGATATTCAAACGCGTTTGGAAAATATTTATCCCACGACCGGAGGAGATATATAGGTATAGGTAAATGTTTATTTTCAACTATGTTTATTTTTTTTTCTGAAAGTCTATATAATGTATTCAATGAATAGATTATAATACTATTCTAACAAGGTGTAAGGACAGATATATATATTGAGGTTATATGTTGCGAACGGTTATTATGCGGAAAATGGAAACAATGATGAACGCTGCGTCAATAATGATAACTGAAACTTTTCATTTTTGGTAAAGTTTTGAAAGTATAATAATAATAATAATAATATAGTAAGTATGGTATTACTATATGTATTATTGTTGTATGTCATTTCATACTTATACTACCTATAGTTTTATGTAATCTAAAACAATCTGCAGCATTTCTATTAGCGAATTTTTCATTTATTTTATGCATATACCTAATGATATATTATGTAGACATTACTTACTCATATTTAGCACAGCTATAATTTATTAGAAAAGGGAGACTAAAGCACGTTATATTATAAACAGAACTAACTACATATTTCAGAAATAGAATATTCCAGAAACTTCAGCTTAGCTCCAATGTAAAACGTCAAAAACTAATTGCATCACAGCGAAACAGCACGTTTGCGCAATTAAAAACTTTCAAAATCCATTAAATTATAAGTATAATTTTTTTTTACCGATGTAGGTTGTGTACTTATGTCGCTCTGAAAATGTGGTATTCTTATATTGAAATTTAATGAAAAAAATGTATTCTTTACCCACACAATACCTAACTATTTTTAATCCAAAATGAACGTTAAGAGATTATATAGAAGTAGAGTCGTTGAAAAATCCAACCATTTTTGGACTTCTTTTAAATATTTAGAGATTTGCTAAAACGGGTTTGACCGTAATCCTTTACAAGGCCGTAAAAAAATGACAATCATGATTAAGAGCACCCACATATATTGTGTCGTCTCTTGACTTACAAATGTATAATAAATAAAAAAAACGGTTTTGAGAGGGACAACTTTACTCCCTATGTATTTGCAGTAGAATTACCAAAATTCCACAAAGTGAATACCTTTATCTGTGTCACAGTGTTTTCATTCTTTTTTATAGCACTAACCAATAATGTTTAACAGTTAAATGAAAAAAAAAACACCCTTACGTTCTCAAACTGATAACTTTAAATGTTTTTATTTTTATACTAATAATAAAAACCCTGCGACACAGATAAAGTTCTCCCCAATGAGTTGTGGAATTTTGGTATTTCTACAATAAATATAGAGAGAGTAAAGTTGTCAGGCACAAAACAGTTTTTGCTATGTTGTGCAATTTGGAAGACGGAGACAACACATGTGGGTGTGACGTCCTCTTAACATTTATAATGTTGATTTTATTTTTATAAAAGGACATGTTAAATATTTGAGATAGCTATTGATAACGAATAACTGAAATTTAAAAAATAACCTGCACCGACAAAATATTGAAACATAAATGGTTAATCTAATTTTATAGGAATTATATTTTGATTGAAAAAAATACTATAATGTATTGTTGATAATTGATATATAGGGATAATGAAAGCCTAGTGCCACTTATATAAATTATAAATATATTCATTTTAAATGGAATTATTATTATTATTTTTCGTATTTATTATCATATTGTTGCTATGAAGTATTTTATACCTATACACCCCTGCAATAATGCCTATAAAATTTAAATCGGATGCATTATGTGTTTACGGCTTATTTTATTTACCCGTGCATGTAAATATTTTCAACTCGGCTAATCCTTAAGTAAATATTTATGAGTTATGACTGAATTGATTATTTCATTATTGAGGAATTGATGGAAAATTTGTTTCGATATTTTATCACTACTTACGTTTTGTCGTTACATTAATCATTATTTGGGAGTTGGTTTTTTGCGTCAATTTTATTACTTGTAATTTGCATCAATAGGTTAGTTATTTTGCACAACATCTAGAAATTAATTTTGGTAATTTGTGCCATGACGGAAAACGAAATGGAATATGTGATCTGTGCCACACATTCAACTTCATTGTCGGAATTTACCAGCTGATAAATATATAAAAAATAATATACCTATAGTAAATATATGAGGACTATAGACAATAGAAAATTTATATAAAAAGTTTAGTTTCGTCTTAAAGTATAAAGTATAAAAAAAAGGTGAGTAAGATCATCTTACTAAGATGGGTATAATAAGTATCATAGGTATTATTAAAAATGTAGGCATTTGTTTTATGCATGTAAAACATGAAGATTAAAGAACAATTTATTGGACAATGAATAATAAATTATAATAGATATAACTGATTTTCTATTTTACTTATAAACATAAAGTATACCTATATACCTAATTTATATTTATTTGTTTTACTTTATGTACGTTTTAATAATTTTCTAGAAATGTAATTATAAATGATGCGCAAGTGGGTGTCACTCTGCTGTACAGTAAATTACAAGTGGGTCACTGTAATGGATGGTGTTAAATTTGAATTCAATGATAATAATTATCATTGTATAAGAAAAACTATTCTGAGCGAAGACGGTCAGTCAGCCTATGATAATATTACTAAGTATATTTGATGATATTATTGTGAATAAAGTAATTTATGAATAACCTATTTAAGTGGAACCTTGTTTTAAATTTTCAATCCTTAGCTATAAAAGTTGAACATTTAATAAATTTTTAACTACAAAATAATTATAAAATTTAAAATTTGATACATTTTTAAAAATTCGAACTTAAAATGCTTTAAAAAAAAATGGTGCCCGTGTATTTTTAATTTTTTTCCACTACTATTGTAGCAATATTTCAGGAGCCTTGTATTACATTTTCATGCTTTTTTACCCAACAAATACATTTTTATTGATATTTATAGAAAAAAAAACTAAACAAAATTTATAACTGACAATGTCCGTAAAAAGAGTCAAAATTGTATAGTGTGTAGAAAATGATAATATAAACATTCAGTAAAAATGTCATGTATCTTCATGTTATTCGTTTTTGAATAACAACAAAATAACAAAATCGCTACATGAGAAAAAAAATATAAGTATGTAGTTTTTAGATGTGCCGCAAATTACATATTATATATATTTGGTTGGTTGTTTTCGACGTAAATTACACACACTCCATAATTTAAGAAAAATTGTGGTTTTGGATTCATCATATCATACATTCATACATATTATATTCACAAACAACGTAGGTACCTACATAATTTATAATTCAAACATATATAACACATCATACAATACGTACTTATAGGCAGACTATATAATAATTTAAAGCTAAGCCGCTGTTTACGCCATGCCGTTCGCTAAGCAGTGAATAA